ATTCATACTTTTGATCCTTCAACATTACTTCCAAGCAATTCTTCAAGAAATCAATATTTGCTTGAGTTTTGGAGAGTACTAGTGTGCCATACTCTATAAGGTCTTGTATTCTACAGCAATCCATTCTTAATTTGAAGAGTATTTCCCCTGTGCACTTTGTTTTGAAATGGTGTGTGAATTGTAAAAACTTGAAGTTGATATAATTCAAGTTTTTGGAGAGAAATCCTAAGTCTTGTGAAATCAAGACTTCGGTGGAAAGGTTAGAGGCTTGCGAATTCAAGTTCTCGAGTTGTAATCGGATTGTCAAACTCCGTTAAGTTTGACGAAGTTAGTGGAATCTCGGACACGTTTGCTTCGGGGACTGGATGTAGGCATTAGGCCGAACCAGGATACATCGTGTGTTGCTCCTTCTCTTCATCTTTGAGTTCTTGTGATTGATATACTCCTGCAAATTTTTGTTCTTCCAAAAGTTTTGTTTCTTTGAAGAACACCTCTATTCACCCCCCCTCTAGAGGTGCGTAAGTTGTTCAACAAACTTATCTAGATTTGATATTGGATATCAAAACATATTTTACATTGGCCCAAAGCCCAATAATAATTTATTTTAATCAAAACAAATTTTGTTTAATTGAATATTTATTTCAATAAATTTTAGGGTATATTTTGGAGCGTTACACAAGGTGACAAGGTGTATAATACATTACATTGCTTATAATATAAACCTATATAATTTTTTTTACATACATGCATAAAATCAGAAACAAGCTCTATCATACATGTCAAGGATTTTATTAAAATTTACATACAAAAGTTGTTTAAAAAAGGGGGCCTTGTAAAGTATATATTACTTCATGTGAAATCTTGGGACAAGGATGTTTATGTTTCTGCATTATTTTAGAATTGGTAATGGGCAATAGAGGCACGCAAAAGCAGTACATAGATCTGCATTCTTTACTTCTTTCTTCTTTTTCTGTTTCTTTTTGTTGACATCTTCAAATGTTGTTGAATTCTCTTTATCTTTTCAAGAGAAGTTAAAAGAACTTGTGTTGTTGATGGTGAGCAAAAGGGATTAAGTTCTTTTAGTAGTCATTTCGTAACATGATAGTTTGAAACTAATGGGTTCTTACCATTTTAATAACAATGCTGCCAATATCATAAACTTCTGAGCTAATGTCATAACTTGTAGTGACTCGAGTGAATAACTTCCATGCAAATATTGTTACTAAATATGCATATTTTATTTCGTGGTTTTAATTTAGATGCAATAAATAGTAAAAATAACTAAATAAAGAAATAACATTCACAATTATTCATAAAAGATAATTTAGATAGAGCACAAAAAAAACAAATACCTTGAGTACTTTAAAAACTTCAACTTTAAGTGTAGAAAAGGTTCTCCTCACGGTTCTCCTCAAGCTTCTATCAAAAGATTGTGAAAGAGGTCAAAACTAAAGTTGAATTGTTAGCAACTTAAAAATGAAAATACAATACTCTCCAAAATTTGCCCAAAAGTAAGTAAACCCGCATACAAATAAGAATTGATGTTTGAGACTAACACAAGTTCGAACTCCTAAGTATATTAAATCAATTTCAAGAACTATTAAAAAGCATCGACACTTACATATATCACACAAAAAAGGACATCACCTGAGACAACCATATAGAACTAGGAAAACTTATTTCTTAATAATCCAATGCATATTTTAATTCTTTTTTATTTTTGAAATCACCAAATTCAATTTACCTCAAATCAATAAGGAGAGAAACATAGACTTTTTCATAATTAAAATTGAAATGGGCATGCAAAGAAAAACAAAGAAATTTTAGTATGAATTAAGGACAAAAGAGGAAAACAAATACCAAGAGCAAAGAATGGAATCTACATGCTAAAGAAAAAATCAAGAATTCTGATCTAGTAGAAATTTGCAGTTGAAGAAGCTAAGGGAAGAAGACAATGAACAACACCTCGCAAAACGAGAAAAGAAGAAAATGATGACGATCAATGGAGATTCAAACACATATCCACTGCGAGCAATGCCTAATAAATATTGTGGCTTCTTGGGATGTGAGTGACATGTGAATAAGCTCTGCAAAAAAGGAGATGGAGAACAAACAGGAAAAAGCCCAAAGCAAACACAATAAGCTCTTCTAAAACTTAAAAACACACTACAAGAGATCAGAAAAATCATTTGTTAAAAACAAAACTTGGAGCACATATAACCCTATTTCTTTAAAATCAAATATATGTTCTAAGTCTTTTAAATTTTTGGATTTACAAATTCAAATTAATTTAAAATTTTAGTTCTTCTTCTTTAAGTTAATCGAGAACTAGATCATTTAAAATAATAACTGAGCATCAAGGAAATGAAACTGTTTTTTTCAAAGCCAATCGAAACAATATCAATTCATTAGCGTATCACTCAAAACAAAAAAGCCAGTGGGCACGACCCCAACAAGACTTTTTCATCACTATCAGTCATATACGAGTATCCAGCGGAATGATAAGCCGGGAAATTGCATTCTCATATTACAAAGGACCGACTTACTATAACAAAAATGTCCTTCAAGCTCAAGATGTAATCAATAGTTAAGCTAAGCACCATATAAGGAAGGGAAAATGATGAATAAATGCAAAAGTGCTAAAAAATGTCAGGATCCTATTTCCAAAATTAAAGGTATTTAAAAGAAAACAACGGCAATCTCTAACAACAACATAAACCCTAACTAAAAAAATAAACTACTTCAGCTCTAAAATCTACTCTTACCGGGTAAAGGGAATAGAAGCAGGCTTTATCGACACTTCCAAAGTTACTTTGAATAAAAACAATGTCAATTTTATACAATTTTTTTGTTTTTAGGGATTTCTTCTTTAACCTGCATTGAAGAAATAAGAAAGAGGGGCGGTACAATTACCAACACAACAAGCAGGTGTAGTGATGGAGACGAAGGAAGATGAAGAGAGTGGAGGGCGGTAAGCCGGTAACAAAGAGGTAGTGTGTGGTAGGCTCTAGGAGATGCACAGTAATTTGACGGAAAGAAACGGGAAAAAGGCTAACAAAAAGAGACTTAACAAGTTAGCCTCTTATTAAATAAGGGATATATATATATATATATATATATATATATATATATATATATATAATGAAGCATAAACACAAAATCAACAGTACATATAAGTGTCTGTTATAAGCACAAAATAGTAATACAGTACCCTTCTGCCTCTATGGTGATCACAATCATTTTTGTTCTTTTTAACTCTTTAACTATTTCCTTTTCCTTATTGATAGAAGTTAATGTTTCAATGGTGTTTGAAATATTTTGCAAGAGTAACCATAATGAATTAAAAAGTTATATATTTGTTAAAAGTTTAAATAAATGTGTTAGGAAAAGTAAGTGTGCATTACCTATTAAATAAGGATAATTAGCATATGCCTTGAAGATCGGAAAAAACACTTATTAGCTTCAGACCATATACAGGAATCTTCTCGCAATTACATTCAGTGATTGTTGTTCTTGGCTGGAAGTTTTGCCTAAATTCCTGCCTTGTCGGGCGATAATACCCATTACTGTTGCCTATGCCAAAATAAGCAAACAGATACACCGAACCTTCCTTTATCCAATTCCCAGATGTTTCAACCAAACTTCTTCGAACCGTGGCATGAATTGTACTTCCCTACATGTTATCAATCAAAAATCAGCACTCATTGAAATAATAAAAAATAAAAAAAGGAGTTTTACAATCTGCTTCTTCAAAGTAGAGTGAACCAAAAGTAAAAAGCTCGTCAAAAAAGTCTCTTTGTGACGATCCAATAACATTTGAATTTTTACATATTGTTCCTTTGAAATTGCACCTCTCCAATGTATGTTATTTAAGTCCCTAGATGCTATAGAGTGAGTTATCATATCTGCTCAGATATGAAAAAGTTAAAATGTAAATGATCATAATCATTATTTTATCCATGAAAGAAGATGAAAGTTAAATAGTGAAAAGAAGAAAATGCACAACCTTAAATTGTGAAAACATTTGAAAAATTTACGCATATCATGCCCCCTAATAAAGAAGTCTTATAGCATTGTAGAATTTAAAGTTCTCTCCATCAAGGATTAAAATAGTGCTCTCGTCAAGATCACATGACCAATTCACATAAACATCTAACAAAGAAGGAGCAATAATTTAGAAAAATTAGAAAAATAATGAGTGTTTGTTGTTAAATGAATAGAGTATATATTTTGATATGAGCCTGATGGATAATAAATCCACCAAATGATCCGATTCAGAAGAATGGATCACAAGAATTAAAATAAGAACAAGAACTCGAGAATTTTGTTTGTGTTTTATTAGCTTGATTCGGCTTCCATTTTCCCCTCTCGGGTCCCCTCTATTTATACATGGATTCTTGATAATTAAGGTAATTCATAATCAAAAGGGAGTCCATCTCGTCGATGGCGCGATCCCCTTTTTCCGGCTTCATCTTCATTACTCGGCTAAGTCTCCTCCGGTGGATTGGCTCTACCAGCTGTCTATTGGGTTGGAGTGATTCGGGCCTCGCGTCATGGGCTGGCTCAGGTCCGAGCTTTTACCACTCACTTAACCCAGAGTCTGTTGGATGATCAATCTGGGCCGCCCGCTGGATATCGGCCCATCACAAGCCCCCCAACTCATCATTCCTCAAATGGGCCACGTTGAGGGATGGGGAGTTTACGAGGTCCACGTGGGTGCTCCAGCACGGATTCGGGCTGCTCCTTGGGTTTCGCGTGACGTTTGTTATGATCTCCACTAAAAGTAATCATGGCCTGCTACTTCGCCTTCCTGCTACCTGTTAAAACCGCCACTGGACGCCAATCTTCCCCATTCGCCTTCTCAACTACCCTTCGTTTGTCCCTCCGCCGTTACCCGACCCGTTTTTCTTCTGCTTCACGTCAGTTCCTTCTTTTGCCACCATGATTGTCTCTGATTCTGATTCGGCTTCCCCATCGTCCAATTCTAGCCAAGCCGATCAATCGGCCTCTAGCCATGGTCTAGGTCAGACCCCATCGTCTCAGCCATCGCCGGCGGCCATGCCCGGCCAAAAGCGGCGCCGGTTGAGGAAGCAGTTTCCTCCCTCGACCCCAGCATGGGGGGGGCTCGAGGGTTAAGCTGGATGAGAACATTATGGCGTTGTGCCATTGCCAAATCACTGAACGGGGGTTCGCCGATGCCACTGACATGGTCGGACCCTCTATTGAAGCCTTAAGGCCCACTAGCACCCAAATCGCCCTGGATGCTCCTTCAGGGTTCTTTACAGTTCATCTGGCGTCTCTGAAGAAGGAGCTGCGATTCCCTCTCCACTCGTTGTTGATTGAAATCCTCAACGAGGTGGACTTCCTTCCTTGCCAATTGGTCCCCAATTCTCACCGGTACATCGCCGGTTACCTGGTTAGATGCAAGGAAGTAAGGGTGAAGCCTACTCCTGACCATTTCCTGTTTACCTTTAAACTGACCAAGGGTCATGGAGATTGGGCGTCCTATGCCAGTCTTTCCCAAAGGTCCAATAAACTCTTTACAAGCGACAAGAAGGGGTCGACCAAGGACTAGAAGCCCTTCTTTGTCTTTGTCTCGACGGGGCCCGAATCTATTTTCACAGGTTCAGGGCTCCCATCCTTCCGTCGCGTTCCCTGTCCCCCGCCCGACGCCACCCTCCTTTCCATCACCCGGCAACTCTGCGGCCAGGGTGCGTCGAGATTAAGAGGGTGGTGACTGAGGTGTCTCTAGCAGCGCTGGGGTTTGAGTTTGTCCAAGACAAGCATCGCCATCAGCCTGACCTGCTTAGGGACGCTCCTGGGGTAAGCGTTGACTATGGTCCTTTTGGTAATTTCCTTCTCTTTACTAGGGACCTCAATTTCCTTTCTTTCGGGGATTAACTGTTCCGTCTCTTTTTAGTTGAACCACCATGACTAAAGGAATAGATGGACAATGAGCTTTTGCTCGGCCACTTCGTTGCGGGGAGGAAGAGGAAGAGAGACGCGACCAGACAAAGCAAAAGTAGGCGTTCTTCCCCAGTGGGAGCAGGTTGTGATTGAGGTGGAAGACCAAGACGACGCGGCTCTGGAAATGGGGACGTTGGCGATCAGCTCCCCTCGCGCTCTCTGATGCTTGGTGGCGACCTAGGAGGGTCGTCCCAAAGGGCCTTCTCGGAGCGACCTCCTTCCCCACCCGTAGTGACCTACGAGGTGGCAATCGAGGGTCGCTCGACGAGGTTTAGCATCCCTCCTCTGTCCCCAAGCCTAGGGGACGTGCAACTAGAGACCCTGGTCACCTTGCCCGCTCAGGATCGAGCTCGCATCTCTGCCGGTTCTGAGGATGATCCTAATGACATGGTTTTTCTAAAGCTTAGCCAGGTATTTTCCTTAACTCCCTTCTTACCTCTCTCTGTTTTACATTCCTGATTCTCTAAGCTTTGACCCAGGCCACACTAGGGATGATCGAGATCGTCGGCTGGAGGCAAGATCGCCAAGCGGCCATGGACGAGGCAAAAAAGGCAGCAGAAGACAAGCAAAGGGAGCTGCAGGAGGAGGTCGCCCGCCACGCAAGGGAGTTGGAAGAAGAGAAGGGTCGCTCTGCCACCCTTGAGATAGAGAACGCCTCCCTATCTTCTGAAGTGGGGTCCATTTCTGCCAGCGTTGCTGAGCTGGAAGGAGAGAAGACCGGTCTGATCCAGTAACTGGAGGCGGAGAGGAGCGACCAGGTCCGTCGCTCGGAGGAGGCGATCGAGTCATTTAAATCTTCTCCTGATTTCACTACGGTCGCTATGGAGCGGAAGGACAAGCTGGTAATCGAATGGCTCAAAACCGGGCCCTGTGTCCAATGGATGGTCAAGGAAAGAAAGAAGTCCTTCAACTGTGGACTTTTCCGCGCCCAACAGGTTTTCCGCGACAAGCTAGCTCGGCTTCCCAAAGGGTTCTCCTTCCCCGACCTCGGTTTTCCTCCTCCTTACCGGGCCTTGGCTGAGTTCGACCCCAACCCTTACTTGGACGAGGGGAGCTTGAGCGCTTCTGACGAGGAAGAGGAAGAAGCTGCGCTAGACGACTGAGGTGGGCAAGGCGACCAGGGACCTGGGGCCAACCTGGCGACGTCCAAGGCGGGCAGAGGCGCCAGCTCGGGCCTTTGATTTACCTCATGTAACACCCCGGCCCCCACCCTAACCGTAAGTGTCCGCTCATAGGATTGTAGACTGGCCCGACAAACCAACACAAGTCTTTTCCGCACAATTTGTCCTCACTCGTGCGCGCCCAAGGAAACTTCCCAGGGGGTCACCCATCCTAGAATTGCTCCAAGTCAAGCACGCTGAACTTTGGAGTTTCTAGTTGATGAGCTCTCAAAAAGAAGATGCACCTTGTTGGTATGAGTAGTACTATCAATCCTTTTGAGCTCTTCCCATTCCCATCTTGATACGGGGTATTACACCTCATCTCCCCCTTGTCTTTTTGCCTTTAAAACTGTAAAACTTTATGGTTTTTTGGAATGCCTTGGTGTTTTGATACAATACTCCCATGTTTGCTGTTTTGCTTTATTTATCACATGCCTTTGTTTTTCTTGAACTTTGTTACTATACTTTTTCCTTTGAGTTGGCTTACCCCGTGGATGCGGATGGGCTTTTAGTTTGGGCCTAACCTCTATCCCTGGCCCAACTGCACGGCTATGCCCAGCCTCGGGACTAGCTGGAGTGCCGCCCAACTGACCCAATGCATTCTGCACAGCATCTGATTGGACCTTTGACCGTCCCTTCGTTTTCTTCACCCGGGGCTATTTATAAGCCCCCCATTCCTTGATTGACTCCTTCATCAAACACCTTCTCTTTCTCTACTTTTGCTATGTCTGAAGAAGTTCCTACTTCTCTGAATCTCTCCGATGGGCCGTCCCTTTCTTCGCCGGAGCCTGCCTCTTCCCCCAAATCCGTTAACTCCAACGATTGGGGGGGCTAGACCCCTACGAATTCTGCCACCGGCTGCCTCGCCGGCAATGGCCCTCGGTTAAGCCCCCGCCCATTCCGCCAAACCCTTACGATGATTTCAGCGCAACGTCTAAGGCACTTTTAGCTAACCGTCTTCCAAACGGAGAGGTTGACTATGATGCTCCATGCCCCATCCACCAGTTGCATTGTGCGGCTTGGGAGAGCGTGCAGGATGAGCACTTGCCCCTCTTGGAGCATGAAGGAGCATATTACACAAGTCTGGAGCAGTGGACTAGCGAGAGTCGCACCAGCTCGCCAGTGCGGCCTAAAGAAGAGGTTGTGGTGGGGGAAGAACTGGATTCTTCCCCGCCTCGCACTGCTGGTCGCTCGCTCCCCTGGAAGACTCCTAGGCGACCTGGAGTAGCTCGAGTGGCCTCAGGGTCTCCATCCTCATCCAAGTGATGCCGATTGGGGCTCACAGAAAAGAGGGTCGCCTCCCCTCCTTCTTTTGCAAGAGAAGGACGTGGGTTTTTGCTGCGGCTTGTGGGCGACCATCTCTGTTCCATGTCGGAGAAGAGAGGTGGTCGCTCGCGATGGTTGGTGATCGGGGTTCTGTCAGCTTACACGGCTGCAGAACTACCCTTCAACCTTGCCTTTTCCCCTTTTCCTTTTGAACGTGTGTAGGATGTATGGGAGAATTTTCCCTCTTGAATGTTTGTAGAATGTATGGAAGTTCTTCTCAATTGTATTGGATATGTAGATGCAAAAGGTGATTCTTGAAGTGTAATAGATATTTTCATGAATGTACTTCGATGTTACCTGTTTACTTACAAGTCCCATCTTCTTTTCAAGTAGTCTTTTGCACCTTATTTCAAGCATTTCAGGTTTCCTGGGGCTTTTTCGCTCCCACGGTATCGCCATGTTCTTCAAAAGTTCCCTGGTCGCTCATGCGACCATTGGATCTCATGTTCTAGACTTAGTCGTTTCTAAGGCTTTTTCACCACAGCGTCGCCCTTCTCTACCGGGCGTGCTGTCCTACCGGTCGCCTTAACAACTGTAGATCAAGCACCCTCTGATAGCCTTTGGACTTTGTTATTAATTGGGTTCAGCACCTTATCCCTCGATGGGTATCTTAGTGCAAAGCACTATGTAGCTTCTATTAGCGATCTCTTTGGTCGCTTCCTTTTTTTTGTTTTTGAACAATGAAATTCAAGAAGAGATGGAACCAGGAAGTTCCAAAATGCTGATTTTATTAAACTCAAAGGAGAATCATAGCAGGAGTACATTGTACTGATAAAATTTGATGAGATTGGCAGCGTTCCATACCCACGGGACGTCGCTTCCCGCTGGTGTTTGTAGCTTAAAGGTTCCATCGGCTAATACCTCCTTAATGATGTATGGTCCTTCGAAACCTTTGGACTTGGTTATTAATTGGGTTCAGCACCTTATCCCTCGATGGGTATCTTAGTGCGAATCACCATGTAGCTTTTATTAGCGATCTCTTTGGTCGCTTCCCTTTTTTTTGTTTTTGAACAATGAAATTCAAGAAGAGATGGAACCAGGAAGTGCCAAATGCTGATTTTATTAAACTCAAAGGAGAATCATAGCAGGAGTACATTGTACTGATAAAATTTGATGAGATTGGCAGCGTTCCATACCCACGGGACGTTGCTTCTCGCTGGTGTTTGCAGCTTAAAGGTTCCATCAGCTAATACCTCCTTAATGATGTATGGTCCTTCGAAACTTTTGGCAAACTTTCCCCCATTGATCGATCGACTGACCTCTCTTTTCCTTAGAACCCAATTGCCCATTTTGAACTACCTTGGTCGCACACTCTGATCATGGTACGACTTAACCTGCCGATGGTAGTTCTTTGCCCTGATGTATGCCCTTTCTCTTCGCTCATCTATGAGATGTGACTCCGCTCTTAAGCTCTCTTCGTTCTCCTGGGCATCAAACGTTTCCACTCTATAACTTAGCAAAGAGGTCTCAGCTGGAGCCCTTGCCTCGAACCCATACGTGAGCGCGAACGAAGTTTCTCCTGTTGCTTTTCTTGGGGTGGTCCTATAGGTCCATAGGATGTAGGGCAACTCTTCCACCCAGACGCTTTTGCACTCCATTATCTTATTTTTCAAGCCGTCCACAATGGTGCGGTTAGTATTCTCGACATGCCCATGGGTCTTGGGGTACCGGACTGCAGCGTAGCTATGTTTTATGCCCCAACTTTGCAGAAACTCATTGAACCGCTTAGCCTCGAACTGGGTTCCATTACTTGTGATGATCTTCTGGGGCACCCCAAAACGGAACAAAATTTGCTTGGACACAAATTTCCTCATCTGCTCTTTGGTGATGGTTGGTACTGGGGCGGCCTCGACCCCATTTGGTAAAGTAGTCGATCGCGACCACCAAGTACATGTTATTTCATGCTCCCCTGGGTAGGATGCCGACTAGATCAATACCCCACCAAGTAAAGGGTATCGCCGTGCTGATCAGGGTGTAATTTGTTGCTGGTCGCCCTGGCACCCTCTGAAATTCCTGGCAAACCTTACACTTACGCACATACTCTGCGCAATCCCTGACGATCGTAGGCCAAAAGTACCCTTGCAAGGTTATCTTTCTGGACATCGTAAAAGCTCCTTGGTGCACTAAACATATCCCTTCATGGATTTCTTTTATCAACTTCTGCGCTTCGTCCCTCCTTAGACACCTCAACAATGTACCATTGTACGATCGCTTATACAAAAGACCGCACTCCAGCGTGTAGCTAGGTGCACGTCGCGTAATGACTTTGGTTGCGACCGGATCTGTTGGTAGCGACCCTTCAAGGATGTGCATAGTTAATTCATCGATCTAGTCCGGCTCATTGAGTGTAATGACCAAAACTTGTCCGGGAGTGATGCTTGGCTCGAGCAACTCCTCCTCGTGAGTCATCGCCCTAATATGATCTGGGGAATCAGGACCAAGCTTCGACAGGATGTCTGCCTCAGCATTTTCTTCTCGAGGGACCTGCTCTATTCAGTATGCCCCAAATGCCTTAAGCAACTCCAACGCGGTGTCCTTATACTTCTTCATCCGCTCATTCTTTGCTTCAAATTCTCCTGTGACATGGCCCACTATCAATTTGGAATCACACCTAACCTGAATCCGCTCAGCTTTCAGTGATGCTGCCAGCCTCAAACCGTAGAGAAGCGCCTCGTACTCAGCCTCATTGTTTGAGACCTTGAACCGGAATCTTACGGAGTAGTATGCCTTGAATCCTTCTGGTGATATCGCCACGACGCCTCCCCCCGAAGCATCGGTCGCGGACGAGCCATCGGTGAATATGGTCCACCAATTTCCCTCGGGCTCTTCTCCGTTGGACTCTACTTCCCTTGCGGTGCACTCTACCACGAAGTCCGCCCAGGCCTACCCCTTGATCGCTGGTCGCGGTTTAAATTCTATCTGGAAAGAACCCAGGAATACTCCCCATTTGCTAACACGCAACGGAGCATTCGGACTCTAAAGGAGGGTTCCGATTGGAATTTGGGACATCACATGGACCGGGTGGGCCATAAAGTAGGGGGTGAGCTTCTTCACTATGCACACCACCGCAAAGATAGTCTTTTCCATATTCGTATATCTCAGTTCCGCCCCTCTTAATACCCAGGCCACATAATACATAGGGTACTGGGTACCTTCCTCCTCTCTCACAAGTACTGAGCTCACAGCCCGAGGAGAGATCCCTAAGTACAAAAACAAGGTCTCTCCGGGCTCTGGCTTCGAAAGCACTAGTGGCGAGAGGATATACACCTTCAGCCCCTCAAAGGACCTTTGACATTCTTCGGTCCAAACAAAGCCTCTATTCTTTTTTATGGTCTGGAAGAAGGGTGCCGCTCGATCAGCTATCTTCGATAAGAAGCGACTGAGAGCAGCGATCCTCCCCGTGAGTTCTTGGACCTCCTTCACATTTCGCGGAGGCTCCATCTCCAAGATTTCATTCACCTTCTCAGGATTGGGCTCGATCCCCCTTCGACTGACCATGTGCCCTAAAAACTTGCCTCCCTGAACCCCAAATGTGCACTTCTTTGAGTTGAGGCGAAGTTGGTACTTTTTCATGATTCTGAACACTTTCTCTAAATCTCACGCATGGGACTCCATCTGCCTTGATTTGACGATCATATCGTCCACATATGCTTTCATGCACCCCCTAACACCGGCGCGAACAGCTTGTTGACCATTCGTGCATAGGTCGCGCCAGCATTCTTTAGATCGAAGGGCATTACCTTGTAACAGTATACCCCATTGGGGGTGATGAAGGCGGTCTTCTCTTCATCTGCTGTAGCCATTTTGATCTGATGGTATCCACTGAATGCATCCATAAAACTCATTAATTTGCACCCAGCTGTCTCATCCACCAACGGGTCAATGTTGGGGAGAGGAAAAGGATCCATCGGGAAAGCTTTGTTTAGGTCGGTGTAATCGACGCACATCCTCCATGTGTTCCCTTTGGGTGCGAGGACTACATTTGCCAACCATTCTGGGTAACGGACTTCCCGGATGTGCCCGATGGGCTGCAGGGTTGTCACTTGCTTAGTGACAAAGTCCCTCCTCTCTGAGGAGAGGAAACGCTTCTTATGTTTGACCGGCTTGTGGGTCGGATCCACTGTCAATCTGTGGCAAATGATCCGTGGATCGACCCCAGGCATATCCTCTGCACCCACGCAAACAACACTTTGAACGAACGAAGGTCGCCCATCAGCTGCTCCTTCAACCTGAGTGGTAGGGTTTTACCTACCTTAACTTTTTGCTCTGGCTTGATTGGGTCTAAGATAACTTCTTCTACCTCTTCCGCCGGTTCAGCTCGGGGTCGCCCTTCTTCCTTTTGTATCGCAGCACAGATCGTACTCACGTTCTCATCGACCTGCACCTAGCTCTTGGTCACTCTGACATAACACAACCGGGACAAACTCTGGTTCTCTCTGGCCACCCCTACTCCGGTGGGAGTGACAAACTTCATGCGCTGGTGGACGGGGGATATTACGCATTCCAAGTCCTCTAGACCTGGTCACTCAAGGATCAAATGGTGTGCACAGTCAAGCTGCACTACCATAAATTCCATGTCGAGCCAAAGTCGGTGGGTGTCATCTCCTACCCCAGCCTTCACCGTGATGGTTCCTTCCGCTTCGATAGTGTCCCCCGTGAATCCTGACAGCGGGGTGCGGATTGGCTTCAGGTCGCCCCGAGACAATCCTAGCTCCTTGAAAGTGTTACTGTACATAATGTTGACCGAGCAGCCAGTATCGACCAACGTGCGGTGGACGACCACGTTATTGATCTCCACCTTTACCACTAGTGCGTCTCGATGGGGGCTTAGAACCGGCGGGTAATCTTCATCCGTGAAGACCAAAGGTTCCTTCTTCTTCCGCTTGGGTAGCGGTTGCCTTTGCACCTCAGCTAGGTGCACCATGTTCTTTGACTTTTTCCGTGAGGATGCCGAGTCCCCTCCGGTATTGCCACCCATAATGAACCGACATCCCAAATGACGGCGATTCTGTCGCTCTTCCTCATCTAGGTCGTCACAATCTCTTCCTAGATGTCGTCTTCTGTCCTCTTGCCCCTCCCTAGCGGGGATCGCTGCGGCGGCGGCCGTCGGCCTCCTCCAAGTTCGGTTCCCCGGTGCTGGTCGCTCTAGCCAAGGAGGCGGTCCTCTAGCGATTAGCTGGTCCATTTCCTTTTTCAACGTAACGCACTCCGACGTGTTGTGGGTGCTGTTACGATGGTATTCACAGTACTTGGGTGCGTCTTGGACACTATAGCTTTCCCGTTTGCGGGGAGGGACTGGCAAGGACTGTATCGCATGAACATGTTGTCTGCTCGCTTGATATCCCGTAGGGTTTGGCCCCCTACCAAAATCTTTCCTCTTTCTTCCTTCTGCCACTGGTTGTCCGCTCTTCTTCTCCTTCCGAACAGGTGGCTCGTCATCTTCTTCTTCCAACGCCAAATATTTCTCCCTGGCTAGCATCTGCTGATAGGTCGAGAGCGGATTCCGTCGCAGCTCCTTGCGCACATCCCCTTGAGGGAGTTCCGCTTGGGGCATAGCGATCTAGGCCTGGTCGTCCGCCCCTTGGACGTCCCTAGCCTCCTTCTCCCGCCTATTGATAAATTCCCGTAGCTGCTCCCCCTTTCGGATCTTCACATTGAGCAGGTGTGAGAACGAGAGCTTCTGTCTCTGGCTGGATGCGAAGTGCTCCAAGAATTTATGGGCCAGGTCGCTCCACCTGTCGATTGACCCTTTGGGCAACTTATGAAACCATTCACAAGCTTGCCCCTCTAACGTTGCTAGGAAGCATCGACATTTAATCTCTTTGGGGTACGCATACAAAACCACGTTCGCCCCGAAACGAGCAAGGTGATCCTGGGGATCGGTCGTCCCACTGTATGCTTTGACCTGAGGGGTCTTAAAATTGTCTGGGAGAGGACAAGACATTATCCTTCTGGAGAAGGGCGTTACCTCGCTAAAGACCGCTTGGCAGTACGGATTCTGGGCATCCAGCCGCTTCTCCAAACGCTCATACATCCTCCATAACTCGACCGCTTCCTTGTCCTCGATCGCCAATCGTCGCTCTTCCAAGCTGATCTTGGAAGTTGTTGAGGATTCTCCTCTCCTTTCCTTGAGTGTCTCTCTCAGGTCGCCCTTGCGAGCTAACCAAGTGTCCTGCAACCGATCGAATGCTGAGGTTTGGAGCTTCTTTGATTTGGGATCTCCCAACCGATCAAAAGCTGACGCCCGCTCAAAGGAGGACGACTCATCCTCTTCGTCCAATATGGACATATCATCCTCCATCATTGCCTTCCCGTTGGGCTTGGTCGCCTTCTTCTTTTGGGACCGCCTTACCTTCTTCTTCTTCTTTCCCCCCGAGCCCGCAGGTCCAGCCTTCCCGCCTGCGGGTTCTCCGGTCGCGTCCTCCACCACAACCTCGCGATTGGGTGTCAAGGCCGCCAACACCTCCTTGAACTGCTCTGCAGTGATCCCGACGCTCTAGATGAGGGCCTCCGCCTCCATCACGCTGATAGGAGGGTGCCGGCCCCCGGTGGCGCTGTTCTCACCCTGGAGGGGGATTCTGGTACCTAGATTTGTGTTGCTATGGGTTTGCACCATTGTCTTCTCGGAAGGTTTTTCCTGAGTATGATCCTCGAGCTCTCAATGAAAGCACCAATTTGATGGACAATAAATCCACCAAATGATCCGATTCAGAAGAATGGATAACAAGAAATAAAATAAGAACAAGAACTCGAGAATTATGTGTATGTTTTATTAGCTTGATTCAGCTTCCGTTTTCCCCTCACGGGTCCCCTCTATTTATACATGGATTCTTGACAATTAAGGTAATTCATAATCAAAAGGGAGTCCATCCCGTCGATGACGTGATCCCCTTTTTCCGGCTTCATCTTTGTTACTCGGCTGAGTCTCCTCCGGTGGATTGGCTCTACCCGCTGTCTTTTGGGTTAGAGTGATTCAGGCCTCGCGTCATGGGCCGGCCCAGGTCTGAGCTTTTACCACTCACTTGACCCAGAGTCTGTTGGATGATCAATCTGGGCCGCCCGCTGGATATCGGCCCATCAGAGCCATGTAGGACTTGGGAGTGCATAATACCAAAATTAGCAAGTCAAAAAATTTGGGACGACTGAATGGGAAAAAATGACAAAAAAGAATTTGTGTACAGGCTTGAGAAATATTTAAGGCTTAAAACAAGAACATATTCACAATTTGCATCATCCGCAATTGATTGGTGTCAACTGTGGGTGAATGACATTGTACACCCTTATTTTAAAGATATGTACTTTTATGGTTTAAATTTATTTAGAAGAAAAAACAAAGAATATGAAATAAACATTTTATATATTGTAGAAAAATATGGATGTGATTCAAAAAAATAAAAAATACTCCATCCATCTCCAAAAGAGTGACTTTGTGATAGAAATTTGATTGGAAAACAAAGAAATATAGTGATTCCTATATTCATTTTTTAAAAGAGAAAAGTTTAAACTTTATTATAGAAGGGTTTTTAAATATTGGGAATGGGCAGTGCTCTTGATCCAGTTTTCAAACTCATTTAAACAATCTTTCTAACTGTAACTTAGAGTCTTTTACATCTAATTATTTATAACTAATAGTTAAAATGAATTAAATTGGTTTGTGTTTTCCTTAAGTCTTTTACAACCAAGTTTGAATTGTGAAGACCATCTCACTCGAGTTTATAGAAAGACTTACATGTTCATCCATGAAGACCATCTCAATCGAGTTTGTTGTTTTCTCATCACCAAATGTGGGTAACGTATACAGCCTCACGACACGAACCATAACTCTCTAGCAGTCACTCGTAGGGTTGATCTTCGACAATGGATGAATAGTTTTTGCTATGGGAAAAATAAAAATAAAGCAATGAGTATATGAGACTATAATATTGAGAGGAATATGTGCTTGAATGAGAAGCTTTGGAATAGATAAACTATATAAGACGCAAAATCCTTTATATATATAAAGCATAACAATTTGGGGAAAGAATTAAGAACCCTAACAATTTGGGGAAAATAAATTTAATGCAAAATTTCCCAAGAATAATGCTCAGTAGTAAATAAATTGAAGGAAAGAATACTTGATTTTACGAAAAAATCGTTCATACGCCGGAAATTGGGCTGTGATTGATAGCAATTGGCTGAATCATTCAACAATTATAATCGCAAAGAATTGTTGAGTTCGTGGTTGTTATGGAATGAAATCTGGATTATCTCTTTGCTATGTGTTCGAATTTGCCCAGAAAAGGAAAGGAGATGATGAAGGAAATTGTGGAAGAAAAAGAAAGATGCGTGCGACTCTCTCCAGATCGCGAAGAAACGGTGGTTTAAGTTTCGTGACAGCTCAGCTTCCACATCAGTTTTAATTTTCTAAAAAAATGACGCATCAACTTCGCCACATGTCGCTCCACAGCTCCGCCAAAATCAGGGCCGGTCCAATAGGGGGACAAGGTGTCCGTCCGGGCCGGGCCCAAAAATATTAGGGGCACATTTTTTTAAGGGAGGGATAATTTTGTGTTGACTTTCCAAAAATACCCTTGATGTGATGGGTAAAAGTAGGATGTGATGTGTAGATTATTAGGAAAAAGGTATGATGTGATAGGTAGGGTTTGAAAAAGTAAGGGGTAAAAGTGGTTTTTTTAATAGAAATGAATAGGAGATTGTGGGACGCAATTTTTTTGAAAGATGTAAATCTTTTTGGGACGGAGGGAGTATATATGTACATAAGCCCAGCTGTCCAGGCCCAGTCCACCCATGACCCATCCAACCGACCCAAGTTATTACCCCTCAAGGCTCAATTCCTCCGCTTGTAGCAAAAATCGAATAGAAGAAAAGCTTGCAACAGAACACTCAGAAATCGGACCAGAAGAAAGAAGAGAGCCGAGTCGCCGCCGGCCGCCTCCACCGCCAGACGCCGAGTCGCCGACCTGCACGGCTCCACCCTCCAGGTAATTAGTTATAGATTTCCACTTTCATTGTTTCATTTTTTAGATTTAAAATCAAGGGTTAATTATTAGTTTTTAATTTGAAATCTTTTCTAACTTCATTCTTTGAAATAAAAAATTAATGATTATATGTTATTTATTTGATTTGGATGAATTGATTTAAATTTGTTATTTATGATAATGATATATTTATATTAAAAAACCGAAAATAAAAAAAATTTAAAATTGATAAATTGATGAATTGATATGAATTTATGATTTATAAAAAAATTAAAACTGAAAAAGAAAAAAAATTAAAAAAAGAAAAAATGACGAATTGATATTAATTTATGATTTATTTAGCTATTTAAATGCTTTTTTCAGTTTTTTTATTCTTAATTTTACTTAGTAGAATTTATGAATTTGGATTTTATTTTAGATATAATTCAATAGTTATGGCTCCTTAACAATTGTCTGATAGTCAAAAAGAAAAAAAAGAGAAAACGAGATGAAAAAATGAGAAAGTCTCAAGCCGGAGCTCTATATAAGTTTAAATGCTGAAGACGAAGAAGTAGAAGTAAAAGAGATGGAAGAGCCAGGGCATCTACAAATAGAGCAAGAACATGTTGAAGAGGAAAATTTTAGGACCTTTTAAGATAATACTTTTAGGGCCTTTTTTCTGTTTCGATCCAGGCTGATGAATCCTTAGGACCGGCCCTGCGCCAAATGTCGTATTCCTGCAGCTTGGAGTCTGCTTTATATATAAAAAGAAAAAGAATTTTTTGCCAAAAAAATGGAAAGTTTTTTTGTAGACAAACAAATAAGGAAAATGTAAAATTTATTTGTGGAGAGAAAGTAAGAATTGAAAAAAAAGAGATAGAGAAGGCTTGAAAAAAGAAAATAAAGAAAATGACCCTAGTCGAATGAAAAAAAGGCAACCCTCACCCTTCCTAATCGGTATCTTATTCTTTCATTCTTCCCCAATCGCCTCACCCTTCTGATTCCGTGGCAGTATCCATCATCCCAGGAATTGCCTCGCGCCCACACCCATCTTTTCTGCTCCAAATAGCCCCTGTTCGCCGTCTTTGCTCTTGTGAGTATATTTCCCCCCGTGTTCAGTTTTTGGTGTAGCTCTGAAGATGTTGCAGAGCAAATCATTCGTGCGGAAAACGAAGCAGGGGAAAGTAATCAAGGTGAGTTCTTGACTTTCAAGTTTCAAATGGATTGGCACTATTAGGGGAGGTGAAGGTTAGGGTTTATCTTAATAATTCTATGTGTTTTAATCGAAGGTTGTAAGAGAGCACTATCTCCGTGATGATATCTATTGTGGAGCCACTTTTTGTAGCTCATGTGATGTTTCTTCGGCCCGATTGAGCTCCTCTGCATCTCATATCCTCGTTGTTGATACTAATGTTGTTCTACATCAGGTCTCAGTTGTTATGTTGAAATATTTCCCGCGGTTTAACTGTGCAGATGATTTTTTGTTTGCAACTTGTGGGTTATTTTTGTTTGCAATTTTTGCTTAATTTTGAACTTAGATTGATTTGCTGGAGAATCCAGCCATCGATAATGTGGTGGTGCTATCGGTGGTCTTGGAGGAGGTGAAGAACAAGAATATTTCTGTTTATAACAGACTCAGAGCTCTATGTAACAATTCCCTCAGGAAGTTCTTTGTTTTTTCCAATGAATACCACAAGTACGTCTCATATGCTATTATTGTTGACTCAAAACTGAAATGCATGTTTTCTTTGACTTTTAATTGCATTTTATAGAATGAGCTTATGTAATCGTCTATTATTGGCTGTGGCTAATTTCAGCATCACATATTTCAACATTCTGTTCAATCTTTACTCCATTTATTTTTAATGCCGCCACTAATTTGCTAAAGGAAAACAGTGTTGGCGGTAGGCTAGGTGGGGGTGGGCAGGATAAATCAAAGTCTCATGATATATGACTTAGAGCTGTCCATGTGTTAAATCTTATAAACATTGGTAATGTAGAAATTGACATTATAATTTTTCTAATGATCATGAAGGGATACATATGTGAGGGCCACGCCTGGTGAAAGTCCAAATGATCGTAATGACAGAGGTCCGTTTTTTACATGGAAAAAATAATGATATTGCATTTCAAATACTTCTTATTGCTCATTGTTACTTTGCTATGTTGCATTATTACTGTATTCTATAGCTTAGTCTTGCTTAGTGTGAGTGATAATACTTTTTTAATGTGCATAGCAGCCTTAAATACAATTGTTCTGTGATGGTGTCTTGTGATATTTAAAATTTTCAAGTATTTGGTCGTGACAAGTAAGTTACTTGGACATGCCAATCGTGACTATTCAAGTCCAGTTAAGTAATTAAAAAGAGTTACTTTTGCAAGATGACCCAGATCATGCTGTAAATGTCTCGAAAGTATATGAAACTCAGACAAGGGCTGTGCACTAGAACACGGTGACGAAGCATCCTGTGCTTTACGTGATCTAACAACCCCTGCCAAATTTGTAGGCAAATCACAATTATATTCTAACCTAATTTGTATCCGCGGCTTGAAAGGGACAAGCTGTTACAATGTAGGCCTTGTTTGGGAACAACAGTTTCGATTATTATTAACGTTTTGGATAAAATTGTAATGGTACAAATTAATTTTTATAATGCTAAAGTTAAACGCTGCTGTTAGATAGTCTTTTCAAAAGGCTGATTCTAACCTCTAAAGCTGTGGCCAAACAGGCCGGCAATGTTAGATTGCCACCTGTCACATTCAAATGATTTCAATGCATAGTTGTGTTGTTATCCTGTGGGTGGAATTGAAAAGTTTCCCCTGTACCTGGGGTAAAATAGGAATTTGTTTATTTGTGATTCAATTATTGAAAATATGTGGAGTAGTAGGCTTTAGGACTTGATATCTAGGCACTCTTTTCTCTTCTTCTTTTTAGTGTAACTATATTTATTGAGCAGTTCTTTATTTTTAAATTTGGATCGTATAGCCATAAGGGTTGCAAGTCAATGGTATCAGAATCATCTTGGAGCTACATTACAAGTATTGCTTATCACTAATGATCGAGAAAATAAGAGAAAGGCTTCTGAAGAAGGAATTGCCGCAGAAACTGGTGCCTATTCTAATCTTTTATTATAGAATGACTTCGTGAATAAATGCTTGGTACTGTATAATTACTGTAAAACTGTATTATCAATCTTACCAATGCATTATAAGCCTATAGTAATATGTGCGTTTTTGACCTGTTATGTATAATTAACAAATCCAACCTCGAGATAAGGTACACTTTTACTTTCATTATTTTGGCATTTTTGGATGTGATGCTTCATTTCTAATTTTGAGCAACCCCCATATTTCTTTTTTACCTTCACGTGCTAATACTCTGGACTATGCTTTTATACCACTATATTCCTACAATGTTACCATTCATAATTTCATACCCTTTCTTACAGAAGCAACTATAGTACTATACTCAAACTATAGTACTCCATAGTCCAAAATTTATCTTCTTGCTTTGACTCGTTGCTCAAATTTATGTGGAATGAAAATACAGTTGACTTTCCTAAACTACCCCCCACCCAACCCCCATTGGTCTGCCCATCCCAAACTCCTGAATCTTCAGACTTGTTCCTTCACAGAATGCCACCATCAATCACTGCCCTACTTCGCCACCAGAACCATCACTGCTCACCGTCTCCATCTCAGATCTAGATTTGTGTCCTTAGACCTGACAAAGATATGCTCCGACCTGGTGAGATCCGTCCAAATCCAGCAAGGGTTACATCCTCAGATCTATCCCAGTTTTTGTTTCCGTAGGTCCTGACATTCTTCGAGAGGAGAGACTGGCTTTAAGCTTCTCAGAGAGGGGGGATGAGAAGAATCAAACGGCTTGGAATTGGTTGTGATTTCTAACGCCATGGTTGATGAACTTAAAAATTCATACTCAAAGAAGAAAACAAAAAGAAAAAGCTGAGGTTTGGGAGGGGGGAATAAGACGTACAAATGAAAGGAAA